TGTGCAAAGATAAGTTGTCACTTTTAGAATTAGCAGAGATGATCAGTCTCTAACCAAATAGAGTAACAACTGGCCCGACACAATCAATAAACAAACAAAAATCTTTGCAAGTTTACAACACAACTAAAGCATATGGTAAATCAGTATCAAGTATAAAAACTTAGCTGAGTTAGAAATTTCGCCTATCGTAATAAGGGAAACTCACAAATTTTGTTAAGTGTTAACTGTCCTTTTGTTTGGGTAACATATAAGTTTTCACATTTTTTAAAAAGGAATACTTAGTTTTGACCAAGTCCAAAAAAATAAAAGAATTAAAAAATTTTTTTTTTCATTTATATTTTTCTTTCTTTCTTTTTGGACATAAAATTGGTAATTTAATTTGTCACAATAGGGTGTTAGGAAATTCCAATATTTTCATTTCTATTTTTATTTTGTAAATATTTTGAGTGTATTCAGTTACTAATACATTTCAATTTGTGTTTTATCATTTTTCAAACTATTTGTATTAGTTTTAACTTTTCTTGGTTTAATTTATAATTTCTACCAAACCACAATTGCATTCAAAATAAGAATATTTTAATGGCATTTTATCTTAACCCTAAGCACTATAGTAAAACAAATATATAAATTCTACTAATCAATCATTCATGGAAACTGTAACACATAAAACAATAAATATGAAAATAATTTTTCGAAACATTTTTTATGCTAATCAAAACAATCAATTCACTGAAAATAAAAATTTCTCAAAAAAAAAAAATTCAACAGTAAATACGATCGATGTATAAAAAGTAATTGTTTCAATTGAAACATCAAGCATGAGAAAAAAAAATTAAAATCATAAACAATGACTCTTGTTATGAGTACTTTTTTTTCATTAATCAATAAAAATTAAAGAAATTGTTTTATGAGAACTGTAAAAAAATTAACACAAAGGATACGAGAAAAAGTTCGAACCAGTCCATGAAGACATTCCGAAAACCGCAACACCAGATGAAAGTTGATAGGAAAAAAAATTTGTTTTTTCGATTCCAAAACACATTTTGAAAATCACAACATCAGATGAAATTTGATTAGTAATTTCTTCTTTAAGAGGAATCATATTTCTCCTTGAATGAGGCGGGGTAGACCAATTTATTGACGATAAAATTCAAAGCAGCACTGGTAGAGAGGCATGACTAAACTTTCTGTAAGTCACTTGTAAAGGAAAGGGATGGAATTTCAAATCGAAAACTTTTTAATTATCAGGAGTTCGATGCAGTTTTTCTTTTTAATCCAAGGAAAGAAATTGAAGCTCAGATTACTAGTTGTATCCATCGCCTTCAGAGCGTAGACAAAGCATGCAGCATAGACAAATGCAAAGTCGATGTTAGTTAAGTTCCACTGTAGTTATTATTTATACAAACAAAAAGTTTGATGATTGAAGAATTTGCTTTTTGTTGAAGATACTGGATGAATTATTAATTACCATGAGTTGAAGAAGAATTTGACTAGATAAATTTTCAGCTGTCCATTTGAAGGAGATATTCGATATTTTTGATGTAGTATTCCCCCGGTGGGTGATGGGATGAGGAATCTTTCCTTTCCTTCTACGCTTTTTTCACTGCCGATAAAGCAAACTTTTTTTTCCCCCGGTGGGTGATGGAATGAGGTTTTCGAAGTCACAGACGGTCTCCGCTAAGCTTAGTTTCTGAGATAGAAATGAGTAAGTTTCCTCCGCAAGCAACTATCCTGCTTGGCTTATAATATCAGGGCTACATCCCTGTTATCATTGTTGTCTTCATCTTTAATAATGCAGTCACAAGCCATAATACGTTATAAAAAGGTTTATTCAAAAGTATGCTGGTGGTTATAACAGTTCACTTCCCCACTCCACAAAGGAGGGGGAGTGACGAAACTCCGGATGGTTCCGGCAGATGTTTTATGGAACACGTTATTCAGCAAGAGACATGCGAAAACCATCGGTCCCGCATTAAATACTACAGAGAATGATGTAATTAGGTTCCAGTCGTACATACCTTTGTAACTCTACGCAGTATGGAAAATCATTTAATGCTTCCTAATATGGAAGTGAAAGAGGGACAAGATTCTAAAAATAACTCCTCCTTAGAAATATAAATCTAATTATGATTCAATGATAAGTTTTCAACCTTGAATTCCCAAAATAGAATTTCTGCACCTATTCTTTACCAAAGACATCTTATGAAAACGAAAGAGTTTTAACGGTTTTATTAATATAAAAGTATTTATAATTTTGGTATTACATGTATATATATATATATATATATATATATATATACACAAGGAGGCTTAACACAGAGACAGGCACGAAGCTAAGTAGAACATAAACTAATTATGCATCGAAGTTGCCAGGTACACAAAATAAAAAATATATCACGGTTACAATAAAAATACGTAATCAAATAATAAATCTATGTTAGGTAAAAGTAGACGAGAAAGAATTATATTTCAACTTATTCGATGAGCAATACGGCTCCCTATTTAATTAACTTATCGTTAATTAACATTCTAACTTATGTAGTGAAACTTAGCTCAACTTTAATATGTCACTTTGATAAAGATTAGCTGGCGCTGATGTCGTAGGTCACATGTGTGGGGTATGGGAGGTCTTCTTCTTCTTGAACTGCCAGTACCCAATTAACATTTACTTTGGAGTGTCTGCAATACCACGCTTAATGCGTGATAAAAACAATAATTTTTCACTTATATCTTAGATTTAAGTTCAAAACTTTACAGACAAACTTTTACCGCCAAATAGAATTCCTCGTTAATAGAAATTTCGATCACTTTCGAATGGGCTGGAAAGCTTAATTTTAAACTGGAGTTCTCTGCCTTATAAGAACGGAGATTACATTTATTTCCAAAAACATTGCGAGACAAATTTATCGCCAATTTGCCTTCGAATAGAATTTATGACTCATCAAAATTTTATCACCTAAAGGTAGCTTAGGTAAATTAATTAAGATAACTTAGATTTTAATTGGAACTCTGTGCTTAATTACAATACGAGTTATAATTGTTTACTAAATAGCGTACGCAAGCCTTTTTTCCAATTCATACCAAAATTTTGACGCTTTTTCATGAACAAGCGAATGAACATTTAACTAGGAAAAAAGTGTAAATAAGAAATCAATTAGAAATTTTAGGAACTACATTTTAAGCATATGCATAAAAAGGAGGAACGTTTTTCTCACCGATCAAAAATTTAAAACTTAAGGGTATTGCATCCAAAGATGTTTCTGTGGTGATAGACGTTTATTATTAAAGCAATGCACCTTGCGTTTTTTGTTTAACAAAAACAGAATTACTAATTAATTTATCCTCTTTAGTTCTATAATTTAGAATGTAGTTTTTAAAATTATCATTTTATTTTATTACTACAGTCTAATATTACTTACATTAAGATTTATTTAAATTAGGATTGTTTCAGTTGATTAATATTCGGATTCAAATGTCAAATATTTTTTTCTTGCATGTACATTAATTACTCGTAGCTTTTTTTTTAAAAATCTCATATTTCTATAAAAGCATTTGAAAATACAATAAGAGTATTTAAAATTGCAATAGGGAGATTTCGCAAATTTGTGTTAGCTTCATTACGCTTTCGTACGCAAGGCTTCAAATAATTGTGCATGAGCATTTGTGCTCTTGCGTCAGTTCTGGTGAAATGCGCATGCACCCGTGAAAAAATATCTAACCTAAGTAGGTAGGTAGGTACTTAATTCACGTCGCACTAGAGCTGCACAATGGACTATTGGTAACGGTCTGGGAAACATCCCTGAGGATGATTCGAAGACGTGCCATAGCAATTCTGATCCTCTACAGAGGAGATGGCTTCGGAAGCCAGACGACCTGTTCCGTGAAGTCGAGTACTTTACGATGCAACAGTTTAACTAGTTCCGGTACTGCGCACCCTCGGTCCCTACACAGGCTGATCGATTATGGTCACCCACCAGCTTACTGACCGCAGCAAGTAATGATTGACTTCAGTGTTCTTCTGGGAATCGCCATCCCCTCTGCAGAGGATCAAAATTGTGATGGCATGTCTTCGGATCATCCTCAGGGATGTTTCCCAGATCGTTGCCAATAGCCCATTGTGCAGCTCTAGTGCGACGTAAATGAACTACAACAACATCTTCTGGGAATCGCTTATTTACGATCAGTCCACTGCAGGACACTTACGTAAGTGAAAAGAAGAGATTTTGCCAAAATTCGTAGGTTAAAACCACAACGTAGTGGATCATCATTTGAACTTTGACCACAAAATCAAAACAAACATTTACAATATGCGTAAACTATCTCTAAACCTGTGACACACGATTCAAGATGTTTTTCTCAACGTGAAACTGCGGTTCTGTGAGCAAAGAAATTATGGAGTTTGATGAATTCAGCGATAAGGAATGCAGGTTATTATTATTAATATTTTTAATATTTGAAAATATTATTGAACTTCTATTGATTATTTAACTTCTTTTAACTAAAAGATAAAGTTAAAATGAATGTATCTTAGTTACTTAAGAAACTAGTGCAATTAGCCAACCATAATGTTAAAAAAAAAAACAAATAAAATTATTTATTCAATGAATGAACCAGTTATTGGAAGATCAGACGATTCATTTCTAAATTTTATCAACACATTTTTTCAAATTTGCATTCCGTGTCCATGTTTTTAGTTCCAAGGTAGACTTCAACAGAAAACAACATTTAACAACTATAGCGTAGCAACTTAACAGCGTGCTTGCAGCGTAAACCACGCCTACATAACGTAAAGATACGTAGCATCCAAAATAAACTCAAGCATACGCAGCTGCTTCAATCGTACGTACGGGAGAGTACGAAAGCTAACTTGCGATATCTCCCTAATTCCTACCATAGGAAATTAATAATCTACTGTTTATTATTGAAGTCTTCTCTGGCTACGATAAAGGTTGCTCTCGTGCTTGCCAGACAGTTTTTATATTCTTGCTTTTATTTTTCAGATATTCTCTTGTTTGACAATTCATATAGCTGGCTACATTCAAAAGAGATTTACTACAAAACAAAAGTGATTCCACCAACAAATGCAGACTGATATAATGGAAGCCCACTATCTTCCTCGTGATTAACTTTGAGGTGTCTTTTTGAGCTACTACTGAATAGTTTTAGAAAACATTTTCTTTATTTGAACCTTCAATTTTTTATGAAATACAGAATATGTATAAAACAGCGTTATCCTTACTTTCGCAAATGAATTAAAACACCAAGACTGCCAACGTTATGACGCAAACAGTTAATAAGAATGTATGTATCTATAGATCAGAATAAATTGGATGCTTGCAAACGAGAATATAGATATGAAAGGTATATTATAATATTATAACTATCTTTGAAGAGCTTACCCAGTTATCGGGTTTACGGCTGCTAATGTTCAACTCAGTAGCCGTATAATTTTGGACTCAAGCCGGAACACAACTGAACTCTTGGATCAATTATTGGGAGAAATCTGCCTTCGTGGAGGACTTTTTTCATGCGGAACTAACTCTCATTTGCGTTACATGGAGAAGAAAACCACGAAAATCTCCTGCGATTAGCTCGACGGAAAGGGGACTCTAACCCATGATCCGTCTACCACTGAGCATATTTTACGTCAGCACTGTGGTCGGTACGAGCCGGTTGCGGAATTCGAAATAACCTGTCATCGCCGGGATTCGATCCCGGAACACCTGATTAAAAGGCGGATGCTCTCTCCCCTGAGCCATCAATATGAAAGGTATAATCATTATTTGTTGTTGCCCACAAGTGGGTAATAGTTAAGTAAATGGGCTTTTCCGCTAAGTGGTTACTCCAAACGCTCTGAAACGTGGAGGTAGTTGGTTCGAAACTCATCGCATACTTGGATTCCAATTTCGTAAGGATATACAGTCATCTTTGTTCTTTCAGCATATATATGTGAAGGAGCTTCTGAGGTCGAGGGATATTGTATTTTCTGCAATGGCTCTGAATCGTATAGGTAATGGGTTCGAATTCCATCGTCCCTTTGGATGTATTTTTGAGGCATCCTGTGTTAAATTGTGCTATGCGTTATTTAACGATGGCTCATAAGTTGTTTTTTGTATAGGGCATAAAAACCTAAGTCGATAAATGAAATACATGTATATGAATATATAAATAAATAAATGAACAAACAAATAAAGTTGTTTTAATTATTTTTTTTTTAAATCAACATTTTATTTAAAAATTTGTGGAGGCCTGCCTGGCCTATCTGTATCGTCGGTCAAATGCTGTGCAAAGCGTGGAGGTAGCGGGTTCAAATCCTGCCGTAACCCTGGATGTATTATTCCTCGTTATGTCCTTCTTTGAATTGTTCTATCTGTCTTTTTACTTGCCAAAGGCTTATAATCCTAAATTGAGCACAGAAGCCTGCAAATGTATGTAATTTCAATAAAGCAATAAAACAATGAAAATTTATAATGAAAAAATAGGTATTGACTGATGGATAGATTCACCTGCTTATCAAAGAAAAAAGACTTGACGTCGGAGGTTGTGTGTTAGTGAAGGAATCTTTGGAAGTCTTAACAATGTGAATCGACATCAACGAATTGTGATAAAGTAGGTCCTTTATATTTCTAGTAACGGATACTTCACCTCGGTTACTGATAAGAACTTCGTAATTTTTGTTTTCTCCCGAGTTGGGAGCCTTCGCTCGTCGGGGAAGGAACCGCCCCCTTCACCGACAGACTCTTCTGTTTCTTTCCATGAAAACATTAAGTTACAATTTTCCGTATAATTTGGAAATGTAAATTATGGATCAGAATGAATTGATGGATGAAACTGCTGCAGAATATAGCAGTCGTCTTGCGAAAACAAATATTGACATCCTCTTAGAATATGACGATACGATCCAATACAAACTGACGTATGCAACGGACAATGGTCTAAATTCATACACACTATTTTTCTCGCCATCAGGAGTTAACTCGTTTTCCAAAAAACCTTTGCAATTAAAAACAATTCTAACTGACGTGGTTAGCGACCCAAGAAAAATTAGTTTATGCACTCATACAAGACATGGCAAACTACTTATTCAAACCTCTGATTTAGCTACAGCATTGGAACTTAGCAATCTGAATTCTCTATTTGATATACGTACCAAACCAAAAATGATACAAGAAAACATTACATCTCGCTTCCTACTGCATGAGATACCGCTTGACTTAAATCTTCGTGATTTAAAATTCGAATTAGAGCACAGCAACATCCAAGTATATATAGTATTCGACGATTCCAAAAAAAGGGAGATACCGTCCCCTCTGAAACCTGCTTAGTAACCTGTTACGGAACACAGACGCCGAAGAGTCTTAGACTCTTCTATGATAGCGTCCGACCTATAGCATTTTATGACCGCCGCAGACAGTGTCATAAATGTTACAAATTCACGTACCTGGAAAAGAATTGTCCCGCTCCTACTCAAATTTGTAGCCAGTGCAGTGGAAGTCATCACAAATCTGCATGCAACTGCTCTATAACGATCTGTAGCAATTGCACAGGGAACCACGCTTCTGGCTACCCTGATTGCCAAGCACGACTAGAGGAAGCTCGCAGACAATATAAATCAGAAAAAGATAAACCAACGTTTGCATCAGTAGTGAAATCCGACCGTTCAGAACAAATTGCGGATATCAAAGAAATAATCAAAACAGCAGTAGCAGAAGTAGCTACAGTGTTTGACGCAAAACTGTTGGCGTTAGCGGAACGCCAGGACGCCCTCTTCGACAAAATATTTAAAGTCTTAGAAATTCTGACTTCTCGACAAGACATCGAACAATCTCACCAAAATCTTTTACGTAAGAAATTTCGTCCGACACTCGACACGGAAGTCCTAGATCACGGTTTTAAAACCGAATTTTCCTTCATGGCCGACACTGAGTCATCCACACCGAGCGTACCCACCTACATCGAAACAGAATCTCGACCAGAATCTTCAGAAACTAAAGGGCAGGGCCTAGTTGCACCAGTTAGAGGCATAACCTCAAGATCACAAAATAGAGGTCTACTTCAAAAGATCTCGCAAGTTCAAACAAAATCATCGACTAATAAAACCAAAAGCTAATATCTACTTCCTTACTGCAATTGACAATACAATTTTCTAGTTACCTTTTGAATAGTCTACAAAATGCCAATTAACATCATTTCCTGGAATTGCCGAAGTATTAAAAACAAACTTCACTGGCTTAAAATAAAACCTTTTTCTCAATCACATATAATTGCTCTTCAGGAAACGTTTCTAAGTTCAGCAGACTCGCTTCATGTTCCGTCCAAAACAATTTTCCGTCAGGACCGAACGAGAGGTCGAGGAGGCGAACTCGTCATTGAGGTTGACCGCAACATTTCATCGAAAATCATTCCAATACCAAATCTACCAACATCAGATAATGAAATCTTAGCGGTGCAGATCACAACGACTGATTTCTCATTTTAACTAGTGAATATTTATTCCCCTAAAGGTTAATTTTTAATAGACTGGCTGCAATTCCTAAGACGAACGTTAACAAACCCTTTTATTTTAACAGGGGATTTCAACGCACACCATGCTGCGTTAGGAACTCAGACAACATCAAGAGATGCGGATAGGCTCCTCGAGTGGATCCTAGATGCGCAATTCTCTCTACTAAACACGAAGGTCCCCACATTCTTCAAACCAGGGTGCCAACCCTCCCTTCTAGACCTCACAATCACATCAGCTGACTTTCCCCCCAAAATGAATTACGTAGTGTCCCCAGACACATTTGATTGCGATCATGCCCCTGTGAGCATGTCCCTTAATACCCCAAACAGCAATTCCGAACAGACAAACTCAAGTGCATTGGAAGAACCTAACCCGTGACCTTGAAGAAAGAATTCTAACCGAAAATACCCTCACAACTCAAAAGTTTCAAACTATTTTCCAGCAAAAAATAAAGAAACATACCTCTTTCAGACCAGCGATTAATCCACTCTTCCCACACTTCTGGAACAGTCTGTGCTCCTATTTATTAGGTAAGAAACGTAAATATCTAAGAATCGCGCGCAGATCCCTCAACCCAGATAAGTGGAACACATACAAAAAAACAGCAGCTGAGCTACGAAAAACAACACACTCAGCCAGAAGACAATATTGGAATGACGTTTGTGTCAACGCAGGTCAAACTAAATCCAATGGGAAAATACTCCGAGCAATTATTAACCGCCCAGAAAACCGAAATATATCGTCGAACCAAATCATGATCAACAACATAGAACTTCACAGCCCATTGTCTCAAGCAAATGCATTTGCAGCTTGCTATTCCAAACCACCAAACAAAACCCCACTCCCACTGGATTTCAGTGGAGTTGACCAAGAATACAACAAACCATTCTCCTTACAAGAACTCAACGACGCCTTCACAGCTTCAAAATGCAAGTCCCCCGGATCAGATGGCACTCCTTTAAAAATTCTTCGCTCCCTTTCGGAAGCAGCTACTCAAAAGCTAATCGACGAGTTAAACTATATCTGGGTCTCAGGACAGATCCCAGAATCCTGGAAGTTAGCCCATATCATCCCTATCCATAAGAAATGGAAACCACCTGACCTAGTATCATCATACAGACCCATATCGCTTACATCATAGGTTCTCAACCTTTTTAGCGCTGCCGCCCCCTTAAGGAGCAAAAAACATTTCAACGCCCCCCTTTGTTATTCAGACTAGAGCATGGGAACGGAGGGACGTGTGCTGAGTTATAAGAGACAAAATTTTTAAGCAATATTTTTACGAAAAAGAATAAATTAACTCGATAATTTTCTCACGGCAGGTAATCACAGTCTATTTGCTTTGATCAAAATAAATACGTTTAATGAAAAAAATGCAACCAAGAAACCTATACTTAAAAATAATAATTTATTCTTAATTAAATAATTAAAAAAACATCCAAAATAATTTTTTACACTAAAAAGTAATATCAACGAAACATTCAAGTAACTATGTTAGTGGGATGATTATACTTAATGCAGTGCTTTCCAAACTTTTTGTACCTGCGCCCCCCTCTTTGGAAAAAAAATTTGTTGTGCCCCCCTTAATTTTTCTAACAATCCAATTTCATAAACACTCATTTGATATTGTAATTTATTTAATGGGCTACAAAATAATATACAATATTATGTATAAAAATACATAAAAAATAATGATCTATTTTAAGAAATAATAATATAATGTAATAAAAACAAATCTTACAAAAGTACAAAAAATAGAATTCAACATTAATACAACATTATAAAAATTTAATGTGAAGGGTGAGCTTGTTTTTCAGCACAAATTTTGTCAAACCGTGGTATCATTGAAGATATCGCGGTTCTCAGTTCCTTTTCAATCTTTAAGCAAGATCGATACTTTGTCTTTAAGACAGCTACTGCAGAAAACCCAGTTTCACATAAGTAAGATGTTACAAAGGGCAATAAAATTTCTAAAGCTTTATTTGTTAAAGTAGGAAACTCGTCCTTTACTCGTAACCAAAACGTGACAATATTATTTTCGTGTTGAAACATCTGCTTTAATGTGCTGTCACTAGATAAGTCAATTATCATTTCCTGCTCTGCTGTCGTAAGGCCAAAATCAGCATATTTTTCAATCACAAACGGGTTTCTAATCCATTCATATTTGGACATGTCAAGATCTTTAAAGTAAAACGAGAATTGCTCCCTTAAACTGGTCAAGTGTTTATTAATAAGAACTTTACTTTCTTCTATTTCATCTTCAAGACAGGTAATTTTAAAAGTGGGAAACATGTCAAAGTTATTATTTTTCAAACTTATTATCCACAGTTCCAATTTTCTCATAAATGCAGTAACCTTGTCTTTCTGGACAAAAGCATGAATTTGAGGCCTTTGCATTGATTTATTTAAAGTACTGAGTCTTTGAAAAATATCCACTAAATACGCAAGTTTTACAAGGAATTTCGTGTCATAAAACAAGTTTGCTTCATCTCTATTATTATCTGTAAGGAATATGGCGATCTCTTCTTTTAGCTCAAACACCCTTTGAAGTACTTTGGAACGAGAAAGCCAACGTGCCTCACAATAATATAGAAGTGATGTATATTCTGAACCCATGTCATTACACAATTTTGCGAAAAGCCTTCCTCTTAATGGGCTATTTTTGATAAAATTTACAACTCTTATAATAACTTAAAATACTGTTAGTAAATCTTCACCCATATCTCTTGAAACAAGTGATTGTCTATGAATCATGCAATGCGTCCAACTTGCCCGAGGATCCACCTTTTGAACTAGTGCCTGTAAACCAGCGTTTTTTCCTACCATAGATGGAGCTCCATCTGTGCATAGTCCAACACAGTTCTCCCACAGAATGTTATATTCATTGAAAAATTTATCAATCATATTAAAAACTTCACTTGCTGTAGTATTGCCTTCAATAGGTTTACAGAATAACATGTCTTCTCTAACATCAGTTTCCACAACATATCTTACATATGTAATCAAGTGTGCATCCTTAAGAACATCTGTAGCCTCATCTACTTGCAACGCGAAAGAAGATAGTTTTACTTTTTCTATTAATTGATCGCAAACATCTTCAGATATATCGGATATTCCTCTTCCCATCGTATTATCTGCAAGTGGAATGATTTTAAGTTGATCAGCATATGATTCACCTAGCATCGTAGCTACCATATCAATAGCTGCAGGTAGCACTAAAGTTTCTCCTATTACATGGGGTTTTTTGCATTTAGCAATTCTATAAGAAACCTTATAAGACGCAAGCAATGCTTTTTGTGTAACAGATATGGTCTTTGAAAACATTTCTTTTTGTTTATTTAAATTCTGCAATTTTCTTTGGAAAAATTCTATTGTCTTGCCAACGTGATCTGCATGTACGTTTTCGAGATGCCGTTTTAATTTTTTTGGTTTCATGCTGTCTGAGGCCAAAGTATTCAGACACAGCAAACACATTGGTCGTTCTTGGCCATTAATAACTTTACATGTAAATCCAAATAATAAGTACATTGGATCATATTTTCTACATTTAGGTTTACTATTTTGCGAAGATGTTCCGCTATTTTCGTTACCTCTTCTTTTGCCGTCTGCTTCTGCTTCATTCAATTTTCTTTTCAACCCAGTTACGTATTTATCCATCTAAAAGGGTTATTATTTTAAATCAAATAAAAATACTTTATAGCAGTTTTGAAATTTACCTTAATATTAGAAGTGTACCAAAGCGAGTTTGTAGAGTTTGTAGACAATCTGCGTGGAAACGGTCGAGTTTAACCAACGTTTCTTAACGAAATGCCGCGTGTCTGCTCTCGTCTGGGCGCACGCATCCAGGTGTAGTCGCGCGCAATTGATGATAGTTCCACACCAGATGTAATGAGCGCTAACGTCGTCGAATTAACGACGGCCTTGGCTCATAAGCCTTGTCGGGGCCTGCTGCCTGCTTCTGTTTACTGAAGTTTGGCGGGAGTAACCCCGAGAATACCCGGGATGATCCCAGTGCTTGTCTAGTGTTTCCTCGCGCTCGGCTCCAAACGGGAAAGCAAGATGTTTTCGTTCCAGCAAGAGTATGGATGGATTTTTTATCATTTATACCCGAGAAATTCGCGGCGAGGATTGTGGATTACGTATAACCGTTTTTCTGATTACTTTTTTGACACCTATTCGAATTTTTTGGTTTGTATTCGAAAATGATATTTTGGAATCAGCTGCGTGCCCCCCCTGCAACAATCTCGCGCCCCCCTAGGAGGGCGCGCCCCACAGTTTGGAACACACTGACTTAATGGTTCAGATAGTAATTCCTTAACGCTCGGTTTAATACTTTTAGTGAGATGAAGACGCAAATACCCTCGTTGCACAATTTCGAGTTGATTTCTCCTTTTTGTGACAAGATCAGTAACAGCACTGAATCCCCGTTCGACAAATTAGGAGGCAGGGAAGACAATTAAAAAAAATTAATGATTGTCTACTGTCCAGGATAGAGTCGACTGATGTTACCTTTTAGCAAAAATTCTGTGAGACGATCACTATTTTAAAGTTTCCTTAGTTAAAAATTCGACCAATTCCTCGTAAATCTGAACCTCTGCTGTTTCCATATTTACTAAAGGGTTCAAAACCCACAAATCCATTGAGGGACTTAAGGGAACAAAACGTCTTTAGAAGGGTCAGAAAAGTCCACGTGCCAAGAGTCAAGGTGTTGACAATATTCTTATGCGTCATCAGAGAGAATTTCGCCTTCTTGGCTGAAATCTTTCCAACCAAAATTCTGCTTCCACAAAATTAGTTTTTTTAGAAAGGCTGAAATAACTGATTTTGTAGGGATCAAATTGAGTTCGCCGCCTTGAAATTTTAAATTAACCGCCATTAAATTTTACAGATAAATCAGCCGAAGTCTTTCATAAATTCTAGTAATCTGTCTCTCAGAGCTACATTTCTGTTTTCGAGGAACTCAAGCACAGAGTCGAAAAGATTCCAATACCTATTGAGACAGAAGCTTTTGGAAAGCCAGTGAATCTCGGTGTATAGTAGCAAGTGTCTGAATAATCAATCGTAGACAGCATTACTGTGAGTTTTGTTCACAGCAGATATGGCATATTGCAATGATGGATGCAAACGGTCACTGAGATTTTTTCCTACTAAATGCTGTCTGTCAATCACGCAGTGAACAGTTAAAATATCTGGTACCACCCTTTCCAAAAGGACGATAAACCCACGATGTCGACCCACCATTGCAGGAGCCTATTAGTGGCAATGGACATAATATTCGCAAGAGGAATGTTTTTCTCTTTAAAATAATCTTCGACAGTATTAAAAAAAGATTTACCTTTGATATCTATATAATAAAGCTTCTTGCAAAAAGCATATCTTGAATAATGTTTCCTACCTTTACAAACCGGACCTATACTTACAGTAAAGTCTACATTACCTGGAAAGGTTGATTCATCAACTTGAAGGGAAAATTCGATGGTTATCAAAAATTTGCATAAAGAAATTTGAACGTCTTCGGCCATCTCATCATTTCGTCACCGTACTGAATCGTTGCTTATGAGATGTTTTTTTATTGCATTGGATGCGGCTGGCTGGTGTAAAACAGTTTTTAAAACTTCCTTGACAACCGGCAGTATCAACTCTACTTAGATGGTATGAGCTTTCCCAGACTAAGCAATAAATTTTGATATATTATAAGAAGCTATCAAACCATCGTCGCATTTTTGTGATGAGGTTGCTAGTAACCCTGAGACCGAAGATGCCTTCAGAAACGTGAAACAAGATGTGTTTGAGAAAAATGACAAATCGATATTTTGTTTGTCAGGATAAGTTTTTTGCAAATGCTGCTGCTAACGGTATGATTTCATTACCTCATTAGATAAAACTTTATTACAAAGTAAACACATGGGTAATTGAGAGTTCAACAGTGATTGTACAAATCCCAACTTCAAGCAAGTGGCACTGTATTGATGACACTTCTTTTTGTCAACCGACATTGTTAGTGTAAGCAAAATACAGACGATGAAAGAAAAACAACTATTTCTCAAAATTAATAAATAATTTATGATAAAGAACTAATTCGCGCACGTACAGGCCAAATAAACTATGAGATCTAATCGAAACTGGGCAAAAAACAGCAAGGAAGCTTAAGAAACACGGGTCCAGTCAAACATTCATACTGAAAGCGCATGCACTTCAATTTCCACCAAATGGCTTGAATGAATCAGAGGCAAAAACTACTGACTCATGCGCTGAGCTGTGTTGGTTCGGATCGAAGAATAGGTGTCTTTTAAGTTCGTTTTATAGCTGGTACAACGGTGTAACGGATAATCCTTATTTATTATATTAATTTAATCTTTTTTTCTTTAATGTTAATTTTAGATTAATTTTATTTATTAAATAAATCTTAAATCAATAATTTTATTTGCAATTTTTAAAATTAAATTTGAATGACAAAACATGCTCATCGTCCCCCTACCACCCAAAACATATCCAACGCCCCCCTACCACCCAAAACAAGTTCACCGCCCCTCAGCATACTCCCACCGCCCCCAGGGGGGTGGTATCACCCCCGTTTAGAACCAATGGCTTACATCAACCTTGAGCAAATCCCTCGAACGCATGCTCTTAAAGAGACTCGTCGATTTTTCACTCAAAACTGGAATTTTCCATCCCTATCAATGTGGATTCCTACCATTCAAAGGTGTAGACTAGGTTCTCACCATTCTTCACCATGAAGTGCTCCAAGCTAGGTTCGAAAAAAGTATGTAATATGCTGCTACCTGGACATTCACGCTGCGTATGACAGTATAAACCAGGAATATTTAATCCTCAAACTCTTAAAGTCCGGAATTACTGGTCGAGCCGCCAAATTCATCCACAACTTTGTCAACCCAAGAAAAATAGCTGTGCGACGGAGGAAAGCGCATTCCGCCAACTTTCCGATGAACAGAGGCGGTCTGCAAGGATCTGTGCTCTCCCCATTCCTCTTCATGATTCACATGTCAGACCTGCATCCCATCCTCCCAGGTGACATATCTTGCCTCATTTTTGGAGACGACATCTACCTTATAGCAATCGCTGAAACCACCTACGAAGTAAGACATAAGATGCAATTTTCACTCCACCTTATTCAGGAAAAGTGCAAGGACTCGAGCCTCGAAATCGTTCCGGAAAAAAGCGCCGTCATCAAATTTTCTAGAAGACGCTCAGGTGATAACTTCAGTCTCAGCATCTTTAATAAATCTATTTCGTGGGCTTAAAATCTCCAAATTCTCGGGCTTCACTTCTCCAGTAACCTGAGCTTCCACCACCACTTCAGAATATTAAAACAAAAAATTTTAAAGAAACCCTCCGCTCTTCACTGTATTGCCACCACCCGCTGGGGAGCCCAGTCAGAACATCTTTTTCAAATCGTAAACTCATGCATCAGAAGTGTTTTAGACTTCGGTAGCCACATCTTTACCTCCTCAAGTGTAACAGGTTTAAGAACCATAGAAATCCTATACAACTCGGCGCTTAGGGTAGCAACAGGACTACCACGATGGACACCCATTCCACTACTTCTCAAAGAAGCGGGAGTGAGTAAATTAGCTTCACGTCACAAATGGATAGCAGCTAAATTCTACTTCCGCCACACCTCCCTACAGTCGTATTCTCCAGTCTTCCATCACCTTAATCTCCCACTATCCAACCTTCCACAATGTAAATTGGCCCCGCTTATACCATACATGCATAAATGGATGATTAGCAAGAACCTCACCCAAAATAACATCATTAAATACCATACCCCTACTCCAATTTCCCCAAACGTCGTCATTCATTTAGACAAATTTGCATTCTAAACCAAGAATCTAGCCCCACCTCAGATAAGAGCCTTATTTGAAGAGTTTCGCTATCAAAACCTTACCAACAGCATCGTTCTGGCAACAGACGGATCAAAACAATCGGACAAAACCAGCGTGGGTATATATTCCTCTTAAAGTTATACGGTCCCTGGCCGAATTCCGTCACAAACATCAGTCTTTACCGCAGAAGGATTGGCGATCTTCCTCGCTCTTAAACATTGTGTTACCAGCTACGAACATTATACCTTGCTAACAGACAGCCACTCAATACTTCAATCCCTCTCCAAAAGCACTAGAAAATCTCCAAGAATTTCTCTACTTCTCCTAGACTAAATCTAGCCAAATTGTGAAGTCCTCTCATTTATCTGGGTCCCATCCCATACTGATATTATAGAAAACGAACAAGCTTACCAACTCGCTAAACAGGCACTAAATAAAATTTTATTTCGCACCTCTCATCACCCCAAGATCTTAGTC